GATTTATTACGTGAAAAAATACGTAGTTCGATTGTGTTTATTGTGAACAAAATTAAGGTGGCTTGGACAAAATCGAGATATTGTAATCTTTCACATTCCGGCTGAATCTTTTATAAAAGTTCACGGAACATAAAACACGGAAAGTTTGCATGTATTAACTTCGGACTAAAACGATGGATCAGTACAATTAACGAGTAAATATTATAACTCTTGTTTCGCTAGGTTGCGCAGAATCATAATAATACGTATTGTTGACCCCGGTACGCATTCCTGTACTACTTTTGCCTAAACGTTACGCCGTCTTTAAACTATCATCGTAACAATCGCATTACCGGCTACATCTGTACAACGGCTGTTGACTAATGTGATAAAGTTTGCTATCCACGTCTGTGCAGTACGATTAGCAATCCGTTTACATTTGAATATCAATTAACCGAATTACCAGTACGTGACACACGTTTTCGACCAATGACTGTTTTTGGGAATTAACGACACACGTCTACCGTTTACAATCGAATCGGTGTTCGATTATTTGTCCGTAGTTCAGGTACGAGAGGTGAAAATCGAAATATTTATCAGAAATATTTATTTATTATTCAAATCGAATTCAATCTATAAGTATTCATTTTGCAGGGAACGGTATTGCGTTGCGATGATTTTACGCAGAAATTTCAGAAACAAGTGGTCTCCTGGTTTTCGTGACATTTTGTAAACGACGGATTACCGCTGACGTCCAAGTGATAAGAATAGGTATTAGTAGGTATACTATAACAGAAAAGTATATCTTCGATGTCCATACTCGATATACTATTCCATTCGTGTTTAAATGACCTTCGACATTTTCGACTTGTTTTCATTCGTAGTCTATTGTTGAACCTTACCGTACACGTTTAACGTATAATTATATGTATGTCATACATGCGTGTATGAATATTGTCTTGAGATGTTTAGAGATGTCCTCCGGGTTCTATGTTTTTGCGTGAAACGCATTATGACGTGTAAATTACTGATCTTAAACACTTATGCACCCACATGCATTGCACCGTCTTGAAAACGTACAAAATGACAATCCTGCGTTCAGTAGAATCAATTTTATGTGTTTAGTCTGAATTAATCCGACCAAATTGAAAAATTGAAAACGTTGTTTGAGAAATTTGTGAATTCAAACAAAACTCATAGATTACTTGGAAATTGAAGCATCGTAAAAAAAAAATCGACTTATCAACCCAGATCATATTATTCTCTGTGTGTTTGATAATAGATAATTTAATTTAATATAAAAGATGATAATTTGAAATGGATTGAACATAAATGGATATTGAACGCAAAGTTTCACCGTCATAAATATTTGTATGACGGGAAAATGCATATGGGTATGGCGTAAATCTTTACTCGACAAATGAATATACAAATACGTAGTGTTTTTTTTTCTCACAACGAAATCACATTCTTTTTTTAATTATTATTAATTTTTTAATACGATTTGGAGAAAATGAAGGGGTTCGGTGATTCTATTTTTACGCTCAACAAACTTCTGTAGTTAAAATCTGGTGCCTCAAAAATAGGAGACGTAGCCTAAGCTGAATGTTCTATACCCGTGTGTACGCCTATGCGGGTAAGACTCATGTTTTCCACCGTGTATATGGCAAATGACAATACACGTATATGTGTTGAAATAATTCGTACGACTTACATGATAATAGACACCCAAGGTACGGGAATGGACAGAAAAATTAGTCGCAGTAGATCGTGTTGAGTAAGAACAACATGTATATTGCTTGTAACAATGTTAAAATATTAACCGTAGAAGTAAATCATAGGGAACGGTGGATGGCATGAGGAGCCATTGAAAATTTTAACATGGATGATGATCGGAAGCTGAGTAACACATATATATGAACCACGTGTGTAAGGAAAAAAATAAAAAAAATAAAAAAATAAACCAACTAACGAAAAATAAAGAAAAACATAGTCAACTCGACAAAAGCGAAAAAGGAAAGCTGATCAAATTCTTAACTGTGTTAATGTGGAAAAGGAAAAAACAAATTCACGATGGTATGTCAACGGACGAGTCAACGTGCATGGAACCGATAATGACGATGTCTAAGATCAGAAATGATGTTCGAGGTACAATCAGTATTGATTGTTCAGCTGAGTCAAATCGTATAGCCAATACATTTATTTTTAAATATTTAACAATTTAAAAAAAAAAATTAAAATAACTGTCTGAAAAAAAAATGTAGGACCTAAGTTTTATATAGCTGACGAATACATTTTAATACTTATTATCACTCGTAGTTTTGATTAAAATATATGCTAATATCGTAAACTTCTTATTCCTGAATTGTTTTTATGTAAGTTTCACGCCGTAATATTCCCTAAGTTGTATTCATAATTTATTCAAACACGTTCAAGATCGAACTTTGCAAATATTTGTAAGTCTCTTTTTTATCTGTTCATTCGACTCGTTTCGAACTAGTTACGAATGACAGCTCAAACATAGTAGTATAATACGAATATTGTAGTTTTATATTTTTAGTTATGAATTTATATTGAAATGTGAGAATGAGAATGTCATTAATAATGAACTCATTAAACACATCAACATGTTGAATAGGTACGCTTATATTTTAACATGTACAAATCAAGAAAATATGATATTTAAATCCGTATGTACTATAAGAATCACGAAAATATCATGATACAACTAAATAAATAATTAATCAAAATTCTTGATTTATAATATCGACATAAGATACTATACATTAACCAGATTTATACACATCACGTTCAAAACGTTTAATGAATTGTATTTTATTCAAATAAATTGTACGTATGATTATTATTAAATACAATATATATTTATAGTTAACAATTAACTAAAATACATTGTATAATTATTTATTATATTCTATTTTTAATACCGATGAAAAAAATCGAAATTCATCAAAGTCACATTATAAGTAGAAGAAATTGAATCGTTTACAACGCTCTCTGTCATGCATAATAAAGACAAATATTTATACAATTTATTATAAATGTAATACACACCTCATGACAAAGTAAGCAGTTGCAAATTATTTATAAAAAAAATTAAATTGTTCAACAATAAAATATATCGTTTAACGTACTCGTATTATGTTTGCAGCATAGTGTTGGCTCACGAATTGATAAAATATTTCTGTCATTTAATTTTAATAATTATTATTTATATTGCACCCATAGTGTAAAATATTTTACTCAAAGAAATAAAATATAAAATGACGAACTACTATGAGCCAAATGCATGCACAGTATTTTGTTAGTCGTATATTTTTCAAATACATTTCTGGAAATTCGCTTTGAAACGCAATATCAATACAACTAGTAGGTGTAATTACACGATTGAAATTAAAACGAAACGGTTTCAATACTCACTAAATGAGTAGTTTTCGTACCGGCATTAAAAGATTAGTTCGTTCCAGAAAACAAATAAAGATGTAAAGGAAACGTTTCGTACTGGATAATTTATAAATAGTACAAGTGAGTATATAATATACGCTTTTTAGATTCAAATTAATATATTGTTCAATCGAATGTCTTTATTCTGCAATAAATACAAGGAGTTAGTAAATTATGATACAATGTATAGTGTACGGATATTGCAATTGTGTACTACAACGCTGCTGTTAGACTATAAATAACAGTTATGTTCATAATCGCCTAAGACTTGTTTTGAATGATTTACCATGTACACATTTATGAACGTTAAATAATGCATTTGTAGAACACGAAATGTACCGTTTAACGTTCGAAATATCACAACTTGAAGTGCTGACATTTCTAAGTGGAATTTAAACAACTAAATGAACAATTAACACTATATTAAGAACTATCAGATGTTAATATATGAGGAGAAAAAAACGTTATAGTACATATTACGATATGTACTTCGGAAGAGTCAACACTCGTTTAAACATTTTGACTGGCAGAAAAGGTTTTGCATACATAATGTAGAGTACAATTTGGATGGTAGTCGATTTCAAATAAATTTCTATTCGATTTTTACGTGTACATGTTATAACCGTACGTGTCGCATACAGAAATAGGTGAAAACGAGGTTTTGGAATCTTACCCATTTCAAATGTTTTAGTTAACATAAAAAGTTTTGGGAGAACTATAAATGAGAATTAGAATTCAGTTCAACTGCATTATTCGTTGTACAATGTAAGATTTTTAATTTAACTTCAAATGTGTTTCAACAAGGGTTGATCGGTCAAAATTGGTAAAAAAATTGTTATTCCTTTAAAACCTAAATAATATTGAAATGGTATTATTAGATTGAAAGCAAATTAACTTAATAATATCATATTCGTTAAAATAGTCTTAACAAAAATTTAATTTATCCATAGAGGTGTTATATTTTATATGAATTACAGTATTTAAATGGTTTGTGCTTCACAGTTTTTACGAATAATACTTTATTTATTTCTTTTCTGAGATACTGTTATTGACAATTATTTATGGAACATACTCAAAGATATCAATTAAAAATATACGAAAATAAACATACATAAATCGTTATAAGACTCCAAACGTGTCATAACGCACATTTAGTAGGATTTCAGAATATCAAAAGTTACTTTATCTCTACATCTAGTATCCAAGCATAATATATCAAATAAATGTATCTTAATAATACGAACAAATCGTCCCAACGTCGAGTGCTCAGCACAACTATGATTACAAAAACGGTATGTAAATAGACGATGCGTAAATCCATATTTTAACTATATAACAATGGCATATACAAATATTATTTAAAAACGCACGTATAAAGACTATCGTGATAGGGTTTTTTTTTTTTTAAAAAACTTGAAAAAAATTATAATAATAATTATAATTAAAAAAAAATTATCATTAGAGACCAATGTTTAAAAACTACATCAACAAAAAATAACCAACACAACCTATAGTATACAAAAATAGAATAGAGAAATGTATAGAAAAAAGGGACTCACATGATGATGTCGCCCAGTTTGATCCTTGTCTGTATGAGAGCGCATGTCTTGTGATCCGAAGTAGTGACTGCTCGTCTCCGTCTCCTGTACCGCGGACTTCCAGGACCGCCCGGGTGAGGTACGGACGGAGAGCTTTCTCTGCGCCGTATGCTCATATGGCGACCGACTACGCCACCCAACATCACTTCGCCACCTGTAAGCACCGTCAACGATATTCGCGATTAGTTACTATCGCTAAGTCCATCATAGCGATGCAATTATTGATGCAATGATGATATGTATACGTGTATAAAATTAATGTTCTAAGTAATAATGTTCCACGCGTAACAGTAATAGAGGTGTGGTACAAAAGGCCAAACCCATTAAGCCGTCAAACTTTTGGCCTAAAACCATGACAGGAAATACAAAGTAGCCGACAAATTAAAATCTGAACTTAAATATAAGCCAAAATTTATTTTTAAAATGTTAAATTTACTTTAGTAAAATAAATGGTCAAACAAGAAAAAACGAACACACGCAGACACTTTAAAACTAAAATAATGCGAAAACATTTTTTTTTTTTTTATTTTATTCGGCTCACAGTTATGTCGATTAATATTATTTGTCGGTTAATATATTTGTTAATCATATGGATTCAGCGTAAAATGTATCGGATTATATAATTCGGCCCATTGTTCGTTTCCCTAGTAATAGCCATTACAATGTATATGAACCGTGTTATTTAGAAATAGATAAAACAATAAAAAAATTAAAACTTTATACGATCTAATTATTGATTATTTTGTTAGTTTTACAGTATTAGATTTTAATAGTCTGATTATTATCAGCTTTTTATTTTTTTATTATTATGCGAATCCTGTCTGATTCATTACAAGACTTCATAGCTGTCAACTATAGTGTTACGTTTCCTGTTTAATAATAATAATGTTGATAATAAAAAATAAATAATCTACAGTCAAATTCTTAGTACATACAAATACGTATTGAAGTCAGATATCTAAATTTTATAGATCCACATAATAGCATAGTAACTTAAAATGCAGTTTAATAGTTTAATACGGAAAAACGAAAAACCAGAATACAAAACTTATATGAATATTTTAAAAATATTTTTATCAATCTTAATTAGGTGTTTAATGAATATAATATAAAGCATTTATACTAGCAGTATTATCTTAACTAATGCAAAGATACAAAAATGCGTTTATTACTTTTACAGGCTTTGCTAAAATTTGTCTAATAATAATATAAAAAAAACCGCAAAACTAATGATAAAAATGTCGACTAAAGATATTGAGCTTAATTAAAATGTAACGAGACTAAAAAAGCAAAAAATAATAATAATAATAATTTGACTAAATTGAAAAATTATGCAAATCTGTACAATGAATATTCCGAGCCCAAGACTTACGATAAAACACCTTAGAGATTTTACAAACTTTCTTTTCGTTTAATTTAAGCTTCTTATATAGGTATAAGTTTATACATTGTTTCGAAAATAGCATCATTACTTAAATACATATTAATATATATATTTTTTCCCCCAATAAGTTTTTTAATGTAATATACTAAAAGCAAAATATCACTAAGCGTAAACAGATTATGATTCACTCTACAAAACTATAAACAAACCAAATACCTATTCGTATGTTATGTGGTTCGATGGTTTTCTCACGAAACCAACATTAATGTCTAAAGCATAACCATTCGTGATTCGCATTTACCGATTATGATAAAAATATGTTTTTTATAACATGTTTAATATTATACTACTATACTACTACTACTATATACTAAACTACTACTATACTATACTATTATACTACTCTAGACTTTAATTATGGACGGTAATTTCCCATGCGAACGACTAATGCGTATTGCTAAAACGAATTCGAGATTCGGGCAAGATAGTAAATATTGACACATCAATAGGGCGCCAGGACGTCAACAGTCATTAGTTGCATAATAACTATTATAATATATATATATATATATATATATAGAGAGAGAGAGAGTATAGTTATTAAAAGGTTTTAGTGATTCTCATTAATGTTTTTAAAGTCAAAAGGTAATTAATTTTATTAATTGTATTACTGCCGTCAACCGCAACGGTCGACGGAAAGACATTTTGAAGTTGATTTTTTTTATAAGAAAACCAGATCTCCTGTAATATTAACATAATATTAGATGATGATCGGACGCGTACGCGTCAAAGCTGATAAAAATGCATTAACAACTTGTTCGTTGTGCACTTTATGTAATATTGCAATGAGCAACGATTAGAATCTAATCATTAGATTACACACAACCACTGATTTATTGTACATTATAAAATACATCGAGTTCGTTTAATTTAGTTCATAGAAATACATATCTTATCTGGTCGGGGTAAGTCACTAGCGTTGATAAGGTCTTTGTTCTCCATTAATCTTTTTCTTGTTTTATTATTTAACTATAGCGTTGAAAACGTGTGCGCAGATTAAATTCGAAAAATGATTTTGAAAAAATACGTTTGCGTGATAGCACTACGCGTTCAATGAAATTATTTCAATAATGAAAAATATTTGCAATATTAGAGCTAGCACATTACAGCCGCGTAGTGTACGAGTGCTGTATGTGAGTAGTGTTTGAGATTTGGGGAGGGGGCTGGAAAATCGTTTATAATAATTTTTACTATGCACAATTTACTGCATGGTTTTATCATTAGTTTTCGAGGAGATTGTAAGCAGTCTCGGGGGGAGGGGCTTAGCTTGCTCCAGCCACCGACCATTATTAAGCATAAGCGTGACATTATACACGATGAACAATGAACAATCGAAAGCGTTTAACGTGTAGAAAAATATTTAGTGTCAGACATTCGATATAACATCTGGTTTCCGATCAATTTTTCCTCCGCAGTCCCACAGTTAAGAAATATCACGAAAAGCACTTATATTACATTTATCTGGTCTCACACAATGGTTATATGTCCTGTGTATTATACTATAACACTTACTATCTTTTTCTCTCTCTATCCTTCTATCCTCTCTCTCTCTCTCTCTCTCTCTCTCTCTCTCTCTTTCTCTCTCTCTCACACACACATACACCCTCTCTTTCGTTCCTCCTCTTTTTTAAATTGATGATTCAGAATCGATTACAATTTGAATGAAACTACAGATAATATTTCTTTTAAAGTATACGTGTGTATAATATATGTGTTCGGCGACCATGTTATCATCCATATACAACGTTGCGCGTAAAAATCATTGTACGGGTTAGATTTTTTTGTTTTAATTTTTTTTTTTTTTTTAATTTTAGACACATTTTTAGACACATAACATAGGAATCTCTTAAATTAATAATAACCTACTTTATCTATCATTAGTGCATGTAATTTTTCCAAGGTATGTTATACATTAAAATCTTCCCCGAGACGCAACCAATTATAAAATTATTAAGTAAAAAGAAGAAAAAAATACATATGTAAAAAGAATGCGTTAGTCTATCGAGACCGTGGTTCGAACTCGAGACAATGGGATCTATAATTGTATTTATCGAATTTCGACTTATATTATTCAAGTTTTACTAGTTATTCCTAATTTTTTCTAATAATAAATATGCTTATGTTACTTAGGGATAATTTAGCTTTCTAATGATCAAAGAATTTATGAAATAAGTTATAATAAGTAAGAGTAAGATAAGTTAAGATAATAACTATACCCGTGTTCAATGTATTTATGAATAACTGTAATGATCGGTTTGCTGATTAAATTACTAGGATGCATTATTTTTTCGATTAAGTTTGCAGGGATATGGTTAAAAACAATAATAGTCAAGAAATTAAAATTATTTGATAATATTTACATATTGTCATTTATTTTAAAAAGTAAATTCAATTTTTTTAATTCATTTTATCAAAAATTATTTGTATTCACAAAGTAAATGTTTTTGAATTATTTTGTACATTATTTCTTAACGTCGCTCGACATTATGCATGTGTTTCGTGATTTCACATTTTCGTTTAATTTCGTGAATAACGGAGCATAGCATTTTCATGAAAAACTTTTTCTTGAAAACTTTTTTACCGTGTTTTGTGAGCGGGTACTAAATTTATGAAATCAAAGGATATCACTATATTATAAATTAAATTAGATGTTAAATATAGGTAAAATTACAATAATAACCTCACAGTATAATAAATGTCATTAATATGTCATAATATCATTCAGAATATGTATTAAAATAAATATAATTTGGTTTTTTTTTTTTTTTAAGTCAATAAGATGCAATTGTTCATTCATCTTTATTATAACTATTGATTTTTATTTAAATAAAAAGGAATGAACATCCTGTTTGTTGGCATGAACTATATGTACTAAACAAAAGTAAACTGAAAACTGAACGAAACACTACGAAATGTGAAAGATGCATAGTGTAGGGATCAACCTTTAGTTTTTTGTGTTCTGAAACTTTAAAACTATAATACTTAGCAGGTTAGAAATATTAATTATTTTCGTTTATCCCCATAACCTTTTATTTCTCATACCTATTATAAATTCAAAATCGTTCGTTGCTTCTAAATAAAATAACAATGATATTTAATTAAAAATAACTCGTACTTATGATAATAGTAAGTTAAATTGGAAAAGAATTATCATGGCACTCATGTTTTTTTATCGAAATTTACGCCAAGAGTACATTAATATATAATACGAATTATCTAATAACATTTATTATCCAATAAAATATGTGAGTCCGCTATAATATTTTACACGGTAATGCATAATATCCTCGGAACGTGAGCTATAAAAGAATTTTTTCAAATGTTATTATAAGCTTTTTCTAATGGATATTATATAGCTTTATACTGCATAATTTTATTAAATCTTTTTCTTTATTTTTTTTAAAGCTTCGACATACGAACTTTAGTAATTACGATACGTTGCAACTTCAGAAGATATAAAAATGCTTGTAAAATTAATGTATCGTTATTATGAAATCAGTTATTAAATAAAGTTTAGTTAGTAAAAAATTATTATAAAATATAATGACTAAGTTTATAATCAACAGATGTGCTGGACATTTTAACAGAATCAGTGACGAACTAACACACACAAGCAGTAGTAAATTAAATTTTGTCTCACCCGTGGGCAAAAGTGTTGCAAATGTAACCACGGGCAAGACCAATTACTGTTCTGAAACTATTACACACAT